TTTTGGACCTTGTGGGAGGAAGCCGGAGAACCTGGAGAGAACCCACGCTGCATGGGGAGAACATGCAAACTCCACGCAGAACGATCCCGGGTGTTCTTACTGGGTGCGAACCGGCGACCTTCTGCCTGCTAGGCAACGATGCTAACCACCGAGCCACCTTGCAGCGATGTTTACATGAAATTCAGTATTTTTACATTGTTGTAGTAGTACTTGGGCTGCAATGAATAATCATTTCCTTTAAAAACAGAAAGCAATATTTAATTTACAGTAATATATGACTTTTTAAAATATCAATTATTATTATAATAATAATTATTGTTGCACAGCCTTGAGGAACAGTCGCATTTCACTGCACATGCTGTGTGAGTGTGCGACAAACAGAAACTCTCAAATTTTATATTAAATGTGCACATTTGGAGCAGGTAGAACCAGCAAATGTCTGGACATGGAACTGAACGTTAACTTAATATAAATATCTCTGTTACTTTGATTCTTGCACTCTTAGTTGTTTTTATTTTTAGTTACTTTATTTTACTCTATATTTACTGTTTTGTTGCACTAACCCACCAGAACACATTCCTCGTATTGTGTGAACTATACCTGGAAATAAACCTCTTTCTGATTTCTTTCAGTGACGGCACGAAAGAGATCCACTTCAACACGGGCCAGAAGGAGATTCACACGGCTGACTACAAGAGGAGAGAGTATCCAGACGGCACCGTGAAGACTGTCTACAGTGACGGCAGACAAGAAACCCGCTACCCCACTGGACGGCTCAGGATCAAGGACAAAGACGGCAACGTCATCCTGGACAACGGGGCGTAGAAACACAGTGCTTAAAAATTGCAAACACTTTTATTTTGGGTCCCAAGACACAAAAAAGGCTCCAGAAGGTCAGAGATGGAGACCGGTTATGTAGGTGAGAAGATTGACCCTGGTACTCGTTTGAGGGGCTGATAGGTGGATTTTTCACTGTTTGCAGTCTTGATGCTAAGCTAAGCAGCTGCTGGTTGCAGCTTCATATTTAGCATACAAACACAGAAGTGGTGACAGGAATGTTATTTCCTAAAATCTCAAATGGTTCCTTAAACACTTCAAACGCAGCTGGCTGTCCATATAATTTGGAGGATGTCTTAAGTATTTTTATTAGTTTTTTGCATTTGAAAGTGCTGGTTAGATGGTAGCAACATTACATGCATCAACAGTGTCCTTATTTCCTTAAATGAACACTACATAGCTTAACTCGACACTTCCCCGTATTTTCAGACAGAAGCCCCTCTCTGCAGTTTTCTGGTAAACAAACCACTTTTTAAAATGTGTATTCTTATAGTCTGACAAGTGCAGGATGAGTTTTATTCCCCATAAACACCTGCAAAGTTGTAGCTTGAATGTAATATAATTTTTACATTGTTTGGGTTTTTTGGGGGCTGTAACAATGCACTAAAGATAGGAAAAAAGCACAAGTGCATGAAAGTAAACGATGCACATAAAACACATTCAAGAAAATGGTTTGACAGATGTTTTTGGGGAAGGAAAGGCACACATTATATTTGTTAGGCCTCAAGGTTTCACACAATCAACAAGAACTTTGTTTGCAAGCAAACTTCTCAGGTAGCTTTAAGTGTTTCACTGATTTAAAGAGTGTCTACAAGTTAAGACAGTCTTTGTTCCAGGATATTAATGATCCAAACTATTAAATTACACTCAATAAATATTTGAACATTAAATACATCGACTCATCAGGCCTGGGAATAATGAAATGCTGTACAGAATAAAAAAATATCCGCCGTGCAGCAGTTTCACATAAAACTGCTTCAGTGTGCTGTGGATGAAGTGTTTTTGGTTTAAAGTGTTAATGTGCAGCATTTTTGATTTGTAAAAATGTGAAATACTATTTATTGTCTTAGTTGGCTGTATATGGTTTTGTAAAATAAATTTTATCTTTTTTTAATATTTAGAATCATGAGTCTGTTAATTATTGTAGAGGTGTGAATCTATCAGGGTTCTTCTGATCTGGACATCTGACAGAAGTATTTAGACAAAAAAAAAAAAAACACTGCAGAAAAGTTAAGCAGCACTGGAAGAGTTTAATCTGCATGAACATACAGTCAAGTCTGGAAAACAAAGTGCTAAATCAACAGAGCTCAGCCAAACACAGCAGGCAAACGTCAAATAAATCACTGCTCGACAGGAACAATGTTAAAGCAAAAACTAGTGAGAATTTTCTGCAACATGTGAAAACTAAGAGCAGCAGTTAAACAAAGAACTCATGATCAGAAAAAAGGTCAGGAAGTCAACCTAGAGAAAGAGGAGAAGGAGAATTTATTAACAGCAGTTGAACTGAAGTCAGTCAGTGAAGATTCATCTGGTTACATTTGCTTCATTGTAAATTCACAGTTGATTATTTTCATCAACTGAGTGATTTTTTTTTAGAATTAAATGCCAGAAAACTGAAAAATGAGCAACAAAATTCTCCTGAACAAGAGGAAACATCTTTAGATTCTTGTTTAGTCCAACAAATAATAATTATTAAACAGCAAAGTAACAAAATTGTAACTAACCAGAGGAAGTTTTGCATTTTTGCTTGATAAATAACCTAAATGATTAAAAATAAATGATTGCTGATCAATTAAACTGAACAGAACGTTTCTAGCACTACTTTACTGCCAGTTTAAATGCTGATGCTGTGATCTGTATTCAGTCACACCAATTAAATAGAATAGAGTAGAATAGAACTTTATTGATCCCTTTGGTGGAAACTTCAGGGAAATTGTTGAAATACACAAATGTTTAAATATGCAGTTTTCATGTTTGAAATAAAGCTAAGAACTTACATTCACTGTTGCTGGTGGGTTGAGCAGAGCGCTCAGGCTCCGCTTTACTCGAGCTCAGCCAGTCCACTGTTCACCAGAGGGAGATGAACCAGATCTCCGTCCTCGTTGTACAGCAGCACCGTGAGCTCCGGCTCCTGCATCTACACACACATGAAAGCAGGACGATACCGACTGAAAAGAAGATGCCTCGCGCTCTTACAAATGTCTCGGAGACCAAACGTTAGACGGAAACTTTGTGTTTGCAAAGCAGACGGACATGCAGGTGTTCTGACTTCTGCTAAATTAGAACAGTGAGTCTCCAACGCTTTGACTTGGGAGATCTTTTTCAGAGAGATGTGAGCAGTGTTCTTCCTCGTGGGGAGACTTCCAGAGGAGGTGATATGAAGGGAGAGATGTGAGGCAAATATACCGAAACTGACTGGAAGTTAGCAGAAGCAGTGATGCACAACTCACAGAGACAGTTAAGGTAGGCCACTTTGAATACCTTTGTAAATGTTTGTATCAAAATTCTTCAGTCAGAACTGAAATCTAAACAGACCCAAAGTCACTTATACTTCCTGAGGTTGCCATATTTTAGGCTGCATTTTGCCTGAAAATGAACATGAATCTTTTTTTTTAGCTGCTGAATCAAATAACTTCCTGCTAAGGACCAATAAAGTATTTATGTACAGTGAAAACAGTGTGCAGCACACCATGATTAGACAAGTATGTGCCTCTGCCTGGACTGAAAGGACGAGGATGAAAGCTAGGCGAACCTTGGTGGATAGCTCCCATTCTCCTTTTAACAGGTTTGAACACTGAACTGGGAGGCGCTACAGAACCCCTCCGACCAAAGGTATCTTTAAGAAGTCCTTCATCCCAAATGCCACTGGCCTTCTCAATTCAACAAAGTGACCAACCCACACATAACCTGAACCACTATTTTATGGTTCTGTTGTAGGCTACCTACACTATGTATTGCTGTGTGTTTCTACATATGTCATGCTGATCTTCTGTGTTGGTGAGCTGTAGACAATTTTCCATCTCTGTGGACAACAAAGTTTTATTCTATTCTCTACAGATGACAGAAAAGGCAACAAAACACACTTTTGCTGTGTATGCACTCTTAAAAAACTATAACAGCTGTGGCACTCCCCTGAAATGGTTTACACTGTTTGAACTGTGCTTTCAAACTATGTTTATTTGGGGCATATTTGGCTGGAGTTTTTTTATTCTTGCAATTGATCAGCCTAGAAAAAGAATAAGAAAGATGTTCCTTATCGCTCCAGAATTGAGCAGAGAAGTGTCACATTTTAAGGCTTTTTTCAGCAACCATTTTTAGAAAAAATGACTGAAAATGTTTAATAAGAACGCTTTTCACATTCATTAGACCTCTAAGTTACTGATAACATGTTTTGGTGAATAAAACTGTTTTTGATTCAACTACTTGTTCATAAGAACTTCACAGGACCAACACACCTGGAAATCACTGAAACATAAGGAAATTTGAGCTTCTTCCTTTTAGAAACAGTACTGCTGTGTCTTTCCTACCACGACAGAGGCTGTGGTGTTGTTGTGCAGCAGGTCAATCATGTCCATGGCAGCCTTCACGCTCCATCCAGGGCTGTAGGGCAGCACAGCTTCCTCCCTGTTGACCCTCGGAGCCTTGAAGCCGGCGACTTTGACTTTTAGTGCCCGGGACGGAAACTGCAGCAGCTCAGCCGGCATCTGACGCAGCCTGACGGGAGCAGACAGAATATCAGATCAGAACATGTGCAGATAACCTGCAATCAGGACAGGTTTTAAGAATGTCTAGAGTTGAACAAGTTCAACTTTTAGGATATATTCCCTCAGGAGCTCAGCAAAATGGAAACCTTTATGAATTGGTCATAAACGCACCCACAAATTAACATTAAAGCTGGATGTATAAATAAGCAACTGCTTACTAACAAGTTGCCATATCAACCTTGAAATGGGACAATGCGTCAGTGTTGTGTTCAAAAGCTTCTAATAAAAAATTACCAAAAAAAAAATAGTTATTGCAGGTTTTAGGCACTCAGTGGAGAAAATCTTTGCCTCTAATACTACCTAATATAGTCCAAACTTTTCCTCGTAGTCACTATTGGTAGGGTTTAAAGTATTGATTCTGATGACAACCCTAATTTCAACAAATATTTTGTGAAGTGATTGTTACCAGATGATGAACCCTAAACTATCTGAAGGTCCCTGTTCTGACTGTTCTGTTCCTTTCTCACCACCAGAAAGTCGTAGTATTAAGGCCTGTGAAGTATTCCAACTAGGGCTGGTCCCAATAGCAATTTCTGATCTCCGGACATTCGGTCTCAATTAATGATGAATATCCCGAATATTCGGGGGTGCCGCGCGATGGTGGCAGGTTAGTATTTTTAGTGTGTTTAGATTAGCGGCGATGGCACCGTTTCAGCGGCGGGGAGTATTCGGAGATCAAGTTTGATATCCCGATTCCAGCACAGCGAATGAATAGTTGCCTGTTCGGCTATTCGGGTCCAGCCCTAACTCCAACATCAACTTCTTAGATTTGAACAAAGTTTTGTGCCCACATTCATAGTGTGCAGGTGATGTATCCCAGCTGGCTTTGGTTATATCCTGGTATTTCCTCTGGAGCCACCACAAGGTTTAAATGTATTTTGTCCTAACAGCCATTGGATGGAGTGCCTTAAAATGTGGTTTACACACTCAAGTTCTTTTCAAGATGAACTTCATTAACTTTGCTGCTGCTTTGAGTGTCTCAATCTGGATAACGCATTAAAATAGTTTAGCTGATGACAAATATCAGTTGTACTTTGTGTTTACTGCTAACAAACAAATGTCAGCATGCTAACACGCTACACTTAGCTAACAAACATCAGCAGATGTTGTCATGCTTGCATGCTAAAGCACAGCTGTAAACTCTGTTAGTCTTGTTGTTAGGGAGGAGTAGAGGAAGATGATTCAGCTTCAATCTATTATTTGATAAATAATAGAGTAAGAGTGTGTAAAACTCATACTTGCTGGTGGGAAGAGTGTCGTCAGAACCAAAGTCGACGTGTTGGACCAGGACCATGACAGGCTCCAAGCTGGTGAACTTCAGCAGTCTGGCTCGGTAGAACTTGCCGTCACTGTACTCTGCCAGACACGGACCAGCTGGAAAACAGGGCACTGTAAACTTAGTGAACTCTGCACATACATGTCTGCAACACAGTGACTGTTTGCTGCCATCTAGTACAGCTGCTCATCCTTAAAAGGATTAGTCTTTACAATGTGGATTACTCTTCTGTGTCTTCTCTGCTTCATATGAATGTAAGCATGTGACAAAGTGTTAACAATGACCACAGGCAAAGGGGATAGTTTTATGCACGCCACTTGAACATTTGATGAAAAGCATGCTGCCAGTACTCTGACTCTAATCCACTAATTCATTTATTAAAAGGCAATGTTTCAACCATCAGAGATACATCAGGCCCTCACAACAATTATATTAAATAGGTTTGTATGTATATTTCAAATGAATTAAAATTTGTTCTTTGCTTAAATGTGTTACGACTGCGGTCGTATTTGTTTATGGAATGTTATTGTTTCCCGTTGATGTTTTTATGTCCCGTTGTGATTGCGTATGTAAATAGGGCTGTGCCGTCACGACGACCGGATTGGCTGATCAGCGGAAGTTCCGGTTTTAAATAAGGAGGGAGTACTTCGCCAGGGCGCGCAGAGACAGAGGGTCAGATGGGCGGAGCCATTTCCTCACCGGCATCCCAACCGGCACAGCACCACATCATCAGTCCTGTGTATAGTTGATTTTGAGAATGGAGTGAGCTGCTACCTTTTTTGTTTAACCCCTTTTCTCATGTTTATGTTAGATAGGGAGGCCAGACTTTGTGTTTATTTTCGATACTTTTATTTTTGATAGGCAAGTTGGTTCTCCTGTACTTTAGCGTTGTTTTGGTTGTTGTTTTTGGTAGAGCTCACTCTTATTTTAAGTTAATCATTCCCTTTGTTTTAACCCCACATTTATTATAAATAAATCATCATTTGTCCTGGTAAAACTGCTGTGGTGTGGCTGCTTGGGACCGGAGAGGGATGGCACATTCATGTTGCGTTCAGGTGCCCCTAGACTGGGTGCAACAAATGTCTTCATGTGCATGGAAACAAGCAGGAAACACAGTAAAATGTTACCACGAGGGAAGCTGGTGAGTCGTGGCAGACTGCTGATGTTTGCATTGATTCGAGTCAAAGCTTGATCCAGAGTCTCTCCATCAACCTCCATATCAGCTGTTCCCTCCAAAGGCCACAAGAACAGCTGCAGGACAGATAGAAAAAGGCTGATCTCTTATCAACACATGTATTTATTATCAGTTTAAAAAGTTCTCAGATGATCCCAGTCAACTAATTTTGACAACACCTGGTAAAAAGAACATCTCTGCACTCCATGAGAGGCTCAAAATCACACTTTTAAACAAGATGGTGTGGAGTCTGTGGACCTCACCATCCATGCAAACTATTTCCCAACACACATCTACTAAACAGTTTTCACGGATTAATCTAACCTCCCATTTATTGATTTGGGGACAGACAGGATCCTGTCTTACTTACTTGCTGTACTACTGCATTTGTTCTAATAGATAATGTTATCTCTGTACTTAGCAGTCACCTCGTTGGGCGTCCACAGATGCTTGACCCTGACTTGAAAGTGCTCTCCTTTCTGTGGCAGGTTTGGATTGACAAAGGGCCCCAGCATCGGTTCTTCTGGGCCCCTCAAACCCTGGAAACACAGTAAGTGTATCATTCTTATACTAGGTCTACACAGAAGATGAAGTTTGAACAACAAGTTAGAAAAGCAGCAGCAGTTTTGATGGTCCAGAATAGACTGGAAGCAAAAAAACACACATTGCATTGCATTTACACGATTACAACACGAGTAAAACATGAGCTGCTACGTGCAGTTTCTGGATGCTTTTTTGCTCTTCTGTCACATTTTTACTCACTGTGGGCTCATTTTTCACTGCAACATAAAATGCTGCA